TGTCAACCAAGTCAGCGAGCCTGACCACCCGATCCCGTTAGTCGCCTTTTACGACAAGCATAGTCGCCTTTTATGACAAGAATGGGTTGCTGAAGACCTATTCTATCCTGGATCTTCACGGGTTTCTCTCACGTCGTAAGGTTTCGATGGATAACTATTCAGTGATCTCCAGAAACTACTAGGAGATTTCTGGACAGATCGCGTTTGTAGCACAGCTTGATGGGTTAACATGTAATATAGCGTAACGTGGCTATGTGCCTGTCATCGTGTTCAGGTGGTTTGGTTTTCGGCTCGTGGTATGCGCATCTGTTCTGCCCGGCCCAGATGATGCACACATCGGTGTGTTATTGTGGACTAGAATTGGCAAAACATGATTACGTTCCGTCTCACTCAAACTATATATCTTCATAATAGTCCATGTTATACATCTGGAACAGTTTCGGGCTTAAAATCCATGAAATGACAGTCTCATGTATAAACACAATATCTCGTATCCTGTTAACACGCCTAGTGGCGGTGGGGTAGCCTAGTGGTTAAAGCGCTGGCCCGTCACGCCGAAGACCCGGGTTCGAATCCCCGCATTGGTACAACGTGTGAAGCCCATTTCTTGTGTCCCCAGCCGTGATGTTGCTGGAATATTGCTAAAAGCGGCGTAAAACCATACTCAGTCAGTAAGTCAGTCAGTCTCAGTCAGTCAGTTAACACGCCTAATGTAGAAATAATACTTACAGATCGTAAAACACCTGGACTTAAATAAGTTATTGTTTATTACTTAAGATCTAGACTCAAACAACCCCTTTGCACAACATCCGTTACATCCTTACAACCTTACCAGATATCCTTGTGACATGTACACAATATTCGATTACTTACCTTTACTTACCAGTTACTCAGCAGCATTAAAATTCCCTTAGTACTGACAGAGTTTACATTCGTCATCTCTTGCGGAAACTAGAGTTATCCCCCTTCGACTATGTCGGTCACTGACACTGGGTTGCTGTAAATATTTGTCCGATATCCCAAGCGTTTTCAATCACGATATCGAGGAACACTTTTGTCCGACTGGCAATAACAGGATTGAATTAACACTACGACGCCAGGTGATGAAATGCAACACAAACGCATCCAAGCGGTCACTGTCCAGTGTGTTGATTACAGGACTGAGTATTGAAATTGTTAGAAATAGCAATTCACTGTTAGGAAATACTGAAATACTGTTGGTGTTAAAACAAACTCACTCAAAATGGTGGCAATTACACGTTAACGAAGCATGCATTCATCATTACATATCTTAAGTGTTGCCCTGGTACTGTGTTTCTTGGTTTCTTATCAGTCCTCGTGGGTTACAGCAATTTTGGATAAAGCTGGAATATTGCTGAGTGCCGCGTTAGACAACAATGAATCTATCTATCTACAACAGTTTGGTGAAGATTAACACCCGCATCACATTGTACCGTTTTACAACAAGCTGACGCTGTGTGATTTACCTCATACAAAAGTCCAAATAGACGTAACCCTCACTCAGGTCAATATTTAGGAGAACAACTTTAGTGACGTCAGTGACACATATCACCTTCAAGATAGTGATAACGTCACACAGCCATCTAGATTCCGGACAAACGACCAAAGCACTTGACAGACTCCTCAAATTAACGTGAGATTTTGATCCCATTTGACCTGAATACGGCATAGTGTAAAGTATGGAATGGATTTTGGAATGGAGTTTGGATTGGAATGATGGAATGGAATTTGGAATGGGAATAAATGGAATATACTCATCTTGTACTAAACAAACCAAGTGTTGTGCCTACCTTCAGACATAAATTAAATTGACAGTTTGTAAACAGTTCGGGTGTCGCTTTCCCTCCTGCTCCCAATTTCTTGCACCCCTCCCCCCTCCGGATGTAAGATAAGGCTAGTGGCAGACAGAGGTGTGGCAATACCCTGTCTCACAGTCCCTTAATCATTATATTTTCCGGGGCGGTGGGGTAGCCTAGTGGTTAAAGCGTTGGCTCGTCACGCCGAAGACCCGGGTTCGATTCCCCACATGGGCACAATGTGTTAAGCCCATTTCTGGTGTCCCCCGCCGTGATGTTGCTGGAATATTGCTAAAAGCGGCGTAAAATCATACTCAGTCAGTCAGTTAACACGCCTAATGTAGAAATAATACTTACAGATCGTAAAACACCTGGACTTAAATAAGTTATTGTTTATTACTTAAGATCTAGACTCAAACAACCCCTTTGCACAACATCCGTTACATCCTTACAACCTTACCAGATATCCTTGTGACATGTACACAATATTCGATTACTTACCTTTACTTACCAGTTACTCAGCAGCATTAAAATTTCCTGACTACTGAGTTTACATTCGTCATCTCTTGCGGAAACTAGAGTTATCCCCCTTCGACTATGTCGGTCACTGACACTGGGTTGCTGTAAATATTTGTCCGATATGCCAAGCGTTTTCAATCACGGTATCGAGGAACACTTTTGTCCGACTGGCAATAACAGGATTACATTTACACTATGACGCCAGGTGATGAAATGCAACACAAACGCATCCAAGCGGTCACTGTCTAGTGTGTAGATTACAGGACTGAGTATTGAAATTGTTAGAAATAGCAATTCACTGTTAGGAAATACTGAAATACTGTTGGTGTTAAAACTAGAGTTATCGCCCTTCGACTATGTCGGTCACTGACACTGGGTTGCTGTAAATATTTGTCCGATATGCCAAGCGTTTTCAATCACGATATCGAGGAACACTTTTGTCCGACTGGCAATAACAGGATTACATTTACACTATGACGCCAGGTGATGAAATGCAACACAAACGCATCCAAGCGGTCACTGTCTAGTGTGTAGATTACAGGACTGAGTATTGAAATTGTTAGAAATAGCAATTCACTGTTAGGAAATACTGAAATACTGTTGGTGTTAAAACAAACTCACTCAAATGGTGGCAATTACTCGTTAACGAAGCATGCATTCATCATTACATATCTTAAGAGTTGCCCTGGTTGTGTTTCTTGGTTTCTTATCAGTCCTCGTGGGTTACAGCAATTTTGGATAAAGCTGGAATATTGCTGAGTGCCGCGTAAGACAACAATGAATCTATCTATCTACAACAGTTTGGTGAAGATTATCACCCGCATCACATTGTACCGTTTTACAACAAGCTGACGCTGTGTGATTTACCTCATACAAAAGTCCAAATAGACGTAACCCTCACTCAGGTCAATATTTAGGAGAACAACTTTAGTGACGTCAGTGACACATATCACCTTCAAGATAGTGATAACGTCACACAGCCATCTAGATTCCGGACAAACGACCAAAGCACTTGACAGACTCCTCAAATTAACGTGAGATTTTTGATCCCATTTGACCTGAATACGGCATAGTGTAAAGTATGGAATGGATTTTGGAATGGAGTTTGGATTGAATGATGGAATGGAATTTGGAATGGGAATAAATGGAATATACTCATCTTGTACTAAACAAACCAAGTGTTGTGCCTACCTTCAGACATAAATTAAATTGACAGTTTGTAAACAGTTCGGGTGTCGCTTTCCCTCCTGCTCCCAATTTCTTGCACCCCTCCCCCCTCCGGATGTAAGATAAGGCTAGTGGCAGACAGAGGTGTGGCAATACCCTGTCTCACAGTCCCTTAATCATTATATTTTCCAGGGCGGTGGGGTAGCCTAGTGGTTAAAGCATTGGCTCGTCACGCCGAAGACCCGGGTTCGATTCCCCACATGTGTTAAGCCCATTTCTGGTGTCCCCCGCCGTGATATTGCTGGAATATTGCTAAAAGCGGCGTAAAACTAAACTCAGTCAGTCAGTTATATTTTCCATTTACCACTGCTAATACATTTAATGAGATGACTGGAATATTATCTACTAGCTGTGTAAGTCGATATAGTAGTACCTTGGTAAATATAGTCATCTTCTTCTGTCTATGGGACACAATAGTTGTGTGAACAACTTGTTCTTATTTTGTATATAATCAAGTAATTGTGATTTTAAGTGACAGTTACTGAGACTATGTAGCATTTGTGATAATATAGACATTATAGATTGCTTTTTATGATAATAAACAAGATTAATGTCAAAATTAGTTCTAACATACATGTTATTTTCCTTCACATGGTGTTCTGTTGTGCTTCATAAATATATCATGAGACTATTGTGTTGAGTAATCCGTTTCCTCCTCGATATATGTCTAATCCTGCCACAACACAGGTGCCTGCCACCATACAGGCATGCAGTTAGCCTTGCTTCAAAGATGTACAGAATAATTATTCAGGGATATATATTAGTAATTCCATCCCCATAATAAGCAAGTCTAGATACGTAGACAGCACATGCCATCGCACTTTCTTCGATACATCTTGTTCTTATTATCTACATAACCTACAAAATAGTATTTGAACTAAAAACTTACTCCCCCAGAATCATGTGCCTTTGAGTGTGTGGTGGATGGGTCATGGCTGGAGAGAGAAGCTGACACCCACGTCCTTTTGCTTAGTGCTATATATCAGTCATCAGCTGTTTATAAACTGTCTTAGCATATTAGAGCGGAGACTTGTTTATAGATAGCAAATTTGTGTCACTCCAAATTCCATTCCAAATTCCATTCCACTGTTCCATACCAAATTCCATTCCAAAATCCATTCCATACTTTACACTATGCCCCTGAATACAGCCTATGGTCTAAATACTACATACGGAAGGGAATAGAATCAAACAGGAAATATGTCATTAAACTCAATAAAGCTGTTTTCCTCCATCTGATAATAGGGTCATTAAACGTTATTGACTCAGTGTATTATCATGTCGCATTTAAAAGATAAAGGCGTTGCCGATTCAAACGCGATCATAATTAAACCGCGAGTGTTTTCCTACAGGAGGTCATAGGCTATTTTTATCACAAAGTTTCACTGTTTCGTCTCGCTTTGTAAATGGGTTATCAGCCACGGCAGTACGAGGCAGAATCTTGTTCAGGTTAAATTATACAGGAATGCCCATGTGATGTCAGATCATGTGACGACATTTGTGGAGATATCGCCAGTAGTGGAGTGAACACTGCACAACATACAACATGGAAACAGAACCGCTCCTGCAAAAGGTGGAGGAGTCCCCGGAATCTGGAGTCAAGAAATCTCAAATCAAGAATCTCCTCTTTGGAAACATGATATTGTTCATATTAACACTTGCGGTGTCGATGTTTTCGCCAGCGATGAGCCAGTATCTCTACAAACGGGTGACAGAGGACGTCTTTCGCAATCAAACTCTGGCAGGGAAAGGTCCAATGAATCAAACATGTTACCTGAACACGTCAAACCCAGACTACATCCTTCAGGAGAAGGCACAGCAGATCGCCGCAGACAAACAAATGCAGTTCACACTTATGAAAAGTAGTCTAGCCATCGTCAGTAACATCATGCTTGGTTCCTACTCGGACTCTGTTGGTCGCAAGCTCCTCTATGTCATACCACTCACTGGTCACTGCTTGAGATTTGGATTTACAGCAGTCATTATCTACTGGAACTTGGATATCAACTGGTTTTTTCTTCCAGAAGGTTTAGATGGGATATCGGGGAGCTATTTCGCTTTGCTGCTTGCATCGTATGCTTATGCTGCTGACAATACCCCAGCAACAGGTGCACGAACCATGGGCATAGCCTTTGTGGAGTTCTTTGAGAGCATAGGGTCTGCTGCCTCAGCAACAGCAACAGGCTACTTCATCCAAGACGTGAACTTCTTCTACCCGACACTCACTGCCACGCTGATCGTTCTCGTGGACATTCTCCTAGTGGTGACTCTGCTGCCAGAGAGAAATGGGATTAAAAAGGCAAAGAGCAAATGGATTACACCTCTAGAAGGATGTCGACGAGTGTTCGGATTTTATGTTTTGGAGGGCACTAAGCGAAAGAGAGTGTGTTTCGTATTAGCTATCTTGATATTCGTTTTCACGGCGTTACCAGGCGTAGGGGCGTCTAATATTGACACACTTTTCAAACTGAACCTTCCATTTTGCTGGACACCAGAGAAAATAGGTTACTACAGTACAATCAGCTCTGTAGCAAAACAGGTGATCGGTGTTCCGTTGACGCGACTGTTACAGTGTTGCTGTATTGATGAGGTGATCGGAGTGATTGGTTCAGTGGCGATAGGCTTAGCAGACAGTCTTCAGTCCATTGTAAGCAAAGACTGGATGATGTATGGACGTAAGTACACTGCGTAATATGACTGATCATTTCATTTTTCCTTAGGACCTATGATTTTGTCTGAATATAATCTGGTTTCACTTTTGGTACACTTACGTATTATTGTTTTCAGGCATATAACCTGCAAATGTTCATCTGTCTCTGCTTTTACCAGGTCATGTTCCATTATTGTTGAAAATAGTCATTGTAGATCATAATTGTCATTCAAAAGTAAAATAAGAACTGAACATTGACACAACAAAGAGCTAAAAACAAGATTTTAAAAAGTCTTAATGTATTTTTAATGTGTTTTACGACTTCGTTAGTATATCAATGTTCTTTCAGTTGCGGGCATCAATGTTCCTGCTGCCACGCTGTTCCCAGTAGTTCGCTCCACATTGTCCAAGCTGGCTCCGGCTAACAAACAAGGTCAGAATGCATAGGAGAACTGCACGTATCATGTATTATGCAAATGAAGCTCCTTCACTCAGTCCAGGAAATAACAGTTACCCACTGTCAAGAATACGTAGCCATTGCCTCTATCAAGAATAAGGAAGAAGACATATATTGTAGGAGCACAGTAAGCCCGCATACTTGGAGAATGTACTAACAGTATCCTGTAACAATTCAAATGAAGTAGCAGCTACTCCTTCACCCAGTCCAGGAAATAACAGCTAGCTGTCAAGAATAGGGAACCATTGCCTCTGTCAAAAATAGGTAAGAAGACATATATTTTAGGTGCACAGTAAGCCCGCATACTTGGAGAATGTACTGAAAATATCATGTATCAGTTCCTTCAATCAGACCAGGAAATAACCATCCTCGGTCAAGAATAAGTAAGCCCCTACCTCTGTCAGGAATTATTAAGAAGACATTTTATGTTTACTGTGAGAAAGCATACCTGTTCTGTTATTCATATATGAAACGTATATGCTCATCGTATAATCAACCCGTGTAGACTCGGATGGGATAAGTTTCCTACCACTTGTTTGCTTATTTTGGATCACCTTTTCTCAGGAAGTTAATCTTTGCCACTCTGGTGCACTCTGACTACAGTGTAAGGGAACGTAGTTCTGTTTAAATTCGCAGTTCTTTACGTAGGTGTACTATTGTTGCAGGTTCCCTGTTTGCCAGTATAGCGGTGGTGGAGACCATGTGCTCTCTGGTGGGGACTCCTATCTTCAGCAACATCTATCAGGCCACAGTGGTGGTTTGGAGAGGTATGGTGTTCATCGTCTTGGGAAGCACACATATCGTCGCTGCTATTATTCTTGTGTGAGTATTTAATGCACGTCTTTCTCATTACTCTAAATCCACAACCGTTTTGATTTAAAATATATTTCTTATTCGGATGGTCAGCTGATGATTGATGTAGAAGATTTTAAGGAAATTACAGTATTTCAACCTGTGGAAATTCGTGTTAAGAATTCATCCCCATGAATCTGTGCTGGTTGAAAGAGGCGTCTGAAATGGATTTTCAGGCTTGTCAGGCTCGTTTACTTGCTTCATTTTGCGTCATCGATGCCCCAAGCTTGTGGTTAGGTACTCACAACATCAATCGCTTGATTGTCTGATCAAGATTTACAGGCTGCCTTGGAATATAGTACAACATGTGCTAATTGTTTGCACATGGCAATAGTTTCTGGCTTCTATTGCTGGTAGGTAATTCATCACATAGCTTTCAAGCTGTATGACCCGTGAAGATCATGATTAGAATTGATCTTCAGTAACCCATGCTTGTCGTAAGAGGCAACTAATGGGATCGGGTAGTCAGGCTCGCTGATTTGGTTGACACATATCAAGGTATCCCAATTGCATAGAACGATGCTCATGCTGTTGATCACTGGATTGTCTGGTCAAGACTCAATTATTTACAGACAGCCGCCATATAGCGGGAATAATGCTGAGTGCGGCGTAAAACTAAACTCACTCACTCCAGCTGTGTGTGTTCTTTACCATATCATATTTTCTGTGAAAATATTATCAACTATATGTTCCATTTGGGTAATCCTAAAAAGGATGTAATTGTCACGCCGAGTCTTTGTTTCAGGATCTATATATTCGTGTCCAAACCGATCAGACAGAAGCAAGATGTTCTGGAGGTTCAGCGCGATGTTCACAAGGATGAGGCTGTGGTTCCACATGCTCAGTGCGTGGTTACAAAAGGAACTCAGACTGACATAACCATTGATCCAGACAAGCACGTGCATGCACAGTCGGCGGCAGGCCTAGAGGTAACAGAGGTCACCCGAGCCAGCATACACGTGCATGTTCAGTCAGAGTTTGTCGAAGAGGATGGACGTTATGTGAAAACAGACGGGTAGTTGACTTACACGACGGCAAAACCCACGGCCTGCTCACGTCAAGATTGGAAATTTTCCTCTTGGACCATTGTCCTTCAAGGACAGACTATATGTATACCCCAAAGTGCTTTCAAAACATGTAAATATATAATGTATATATGGAGATGGGTTTTAAAGTCTCTCAGGGTCCGGCGAACATATTAATTATCACCCTACATGGGTATTCATTCCCAAGAAGGATAGTCCACAGTATTCAGTTCTTGTGGACGGGGCCAGAACACTGACGTAAGCGAAACGAAATCAAGCTAACCCCGGAGGAATTCTAATTATACACGTGCATTTTCAGTCAGAGTTTGGCGAAGAGGATGGACACTATGTGAAAACAGACGGGTAGTTGACTTACACGACAGAATAGAAGATTCCATGACATCAACAAATCTCCTGACTGCGACAAGAGTGGACATGTTCCCATTTTGCCATTGCGTTTCAAGACAGGCTATATACCATTAAGTGCTTTCATTACATGTTTTGTTTTGAACAATGTACAGGAACAATTATCAATCGCGTTTTTAAAGTTACACTCGCAATGCAATGGATCATATGTTTGTGTTTCAATAAAGGACCAATTATAAATGCACGAGACATTAAATTATTAACTCAGCTACGCGCCAACAGACCCTCTATGTATTACTGTTAGTATATTACACAATGCTGCTTACAAGTTGTTATAATTTTCTTGTAATTATATTTATTGAAATTGCAACAGATGTTTAGACTTATCATACTGATGATCGCTTTCACAGTAATGTGTGATTATGTCATTTCATATTGGCAGAAAGAACGGTAACCTCCCAAAACCCCTACATCCCATAACCCCTACAGCTTATAACAACAAAGTTCATGGTCCAGTGCACTGCTAATCTCCTGGCTGTTACCTATTTCATACAATGGACCAGGGCAAACACTTAGCATTTAAGAACATGATTTCAAGGAGCATTAACCAAACTAAAACCGGTTTTAATTGATGATAATTTAAAAAATTTAACAAAAGTTCAATAATATGGAACTTGAGGTTTAATTAACTTCATTGAATATCATAATGTCATAACATATTAAAAAGAATTATGTATATTTTTCTACATATTATCTGTCAACATCAAGCAAATTGGTTTTGCCATGTTCCAGCCTCACGACCTCCATTTTGTTTGACTTTTTACCTTGGTACGTCCAAACAACGCAAAATCTGCAATAAATGCATAACAAACTTCAGGAAACAAAATATGCATGTTTTGGATAGTCCGCTAGAATCAAATTTGGATATTAAAGTGCATAAAAAAGCAATTTGAAACTACCTGCATGTACACACTCTATTTTTCACATTTAGTTCAAATCAACTATGCAATATGAATTTCCTTTGGTATAATATAGCATTTTCCTACTTTATATCTCAAATTTGAAATTAACTAAATACACCCTTGCTCCCAAGACTGTGTGTTAACTGTCCTTGTCGCTTAGAACATACTTTGGGCACATTACTAGTTTTAATTAGGTTAGCTTAAATTGTCTACCTACATGTACTTTACTTTCATTTTATGTTAATGAAAGAGACAGACATGCTTTTGTAACATCGATCTTAATGGAATTTATTTTGATATTTACCAAGCTGTTTATAATGAATCTGATTGTTAAAAGTGATTATCAAACCACATATGTTCCATAATTTCCTGATCAGTTTATTTATACCACATCTTTCACATCAGATATTTCATGCTTACTGTTGAATTTTGTCCCAGTATTTAATACTTTGAAAATCCAAAATGCGTAATCGACATGACAATACATTATTGTATTTTTTATTAACTAGACAAACAGCTCTATCTTGTGGCCAGACATTTCTTTAGATAAGTAAAGGTTGTCTAAATCAGTTCGAATGATTGATGCTGTTCCATCATATTACGGCAAATTGTCAGCCACAAAAAGGAAGAGATATACAGAGAGAGGGACACCTTGCCTGCATCCTCTTTCATTATGAATGGATATGGATAAATACCAGGATCCAAACACACGTGAATTTTAGTAACGTATCAAATATAGATCAACTCCCAGGAGATTTCTGGACAGATCGCGTTTGTAGCACAGCTTGATAGGTTAACATGTAACATAGCGTAACGTGGCTATGTGCCTGTCATCGTGTTCAGGTGGTTTGGTTTTCGGCTCGTGGTATGCGCATCTGTTCTGCCCGGCCCAGATGATGCACACATCGGTGTGTTATTGCGGACTAGAATTGGCAAAACATGTTATTACCTTCTGTCTCACTATAACTATATATCTTCATAATAGTCCATGTTATGCATCTGGAACAGTTTCGGGCTTAACATATATGAAATGACCCGGGTTCGAATCCCCGCATGGTTACAACGTGTGAAGCCCATCTCTGGTGTCCCCCGCCGTGATGTTGCTGGAATATTGCTAAAAGCGGCGTAAAACCATACTCAGTCAGTAAGTCAGTCAGTCAGTCAGTTAACACGCCTAAAGTAGAAATAATACTTACAGATCGTAAAACAGCTAGTTATTGTTTATTACTTAAGATCTAGACTCAAACAACCCCTTTGCACAACATCCGTTACATCCTTACAACCTAACCAGATATCCTTGTGACATGTACACAATATTCGATTACTTACCTTTACTTACCAGCTACTCAGCAGCATTAAAACTCCTTACTACTGACAGAGTTTATATTCGTCATCTCTTGCGGAAACTAGAGTTATCCCCCTTCGACTATGTCGGTCACTGACACTGGGTTGCTGTAAATATTTGTCCGATATGCCAAGCGTTTTCAATCACGATATCGAGGAACACTTTTGTCCGACTGGCAATAACAGGATTACATTAACACTATGACGCCAGGTGATGAAATGCAACACAAACGCATCCAAGCGGTCACTGTCCAGTGTGTTGATTACAACAGTGTGCATTAAATATGGTGGAAATAGCAATTCACTGTTTGGAAATACTGAAATATTGTTCAAATTGGCCATGGTGCCATGAACATTCGATCACTTACCTGTACTTACCAGTTACTCAGCAGTATTACGACTGACAGAGTTTACATTAGTCATCGCTTCCGGAAACTAGAGTTATCCCCCTTAGACTATGTCCCTCACTGACATGGTGTATTTGTCCGACATGCCAAGCTGTTTACTCACGATTCCGAGAAACACTTTTCTTCGTTTTGTGTGACAAATTATCCGACAGATTATAAGCCATGTGGTGATGAGGTTGAGTCATGGTTAATGCAAGATACACAAATTGTTAACAGTAAATGTCATGTATTTTCATTTTTATATTTCATTTTGTTGTTATGTTTGCATGTTGCGATCTGTCGGATCCGTAGGCCAGAGAATCAGAATGTTTAAGATATGGGACATATCTCGGGACCAGAAAACCGACGTAAACGAAATCTAACCCTTGAGGAAAACTTAATGTAAACTGCCATTGCAACTGAACACCATTCTTCTTGGTACTACGTTCAGTCTCATTCCAAGATCTTTCCTTCTGTGATTTGTTTTGTTTATTTGCATGTTATTTTACGCCCCGCCCAACAATTTTCCAGCTACATGACGGCAATCTGTGAATTATCGAGTCTGGACCAGACAGTTCGGTGATTGATATCATGAGTATCGATCAGGAGGATTATGATGACCTGCATCAACACGGTCAGTGAGTCTGATCGTGACCGCCCCATTCAAATGACACGATATCCAAGTGACATGCACACAACAAACGATCACGTACCTTTACTTAGTAATACTTACCATTTGGGACGATTTCGGGGAACGCTTTTGTTTGTTTTGTTCGACAATAACAGGATTGAATTAACACTACGACGCCAGGTGATGAAATGCAACACAAACGCATGCAAGCGGTCACTGTCCAGTGTGTTGATTACAGGAGTGAGTATTGAAATTGTTGGAAATAGCAATTCACTGTTAGGAAATACTGAAATACTGTTGGTGTTAAAACAAACTCACTCGAATGGTGGCAATTACACGTTAACGAAGCATGCATTCATCATTACATATCTTAAGAGTTGCCCTGGTTGTGTTTCTTGGTTTCTTATCAGTCCTCGTGGGTTACAGCAATTTTGGATAAAGCCGCGTGCCGCGTTAGACAACAATGAATCTATCTATCTACAACAGTTTGGTGAAGATTAACACCCGCATCACATTGTGCCGTTTTACAACAAGCTGACGCTGTGTGATAAACCTCATACAAAAGTCCAAATAGACGCAACCCTCACTCAGGTCAATATTTAGGAGAACAACTTTAGTGACGTCAGTGACACATATCACCTTCAAGATAGTGATAACGTCACACAGCCATCTAGATTCCGGACAAACGACCAAAGCACTTGACAGACTCCTCAAATTAACGTGAGATTTTGATCCCATTTGACCTGGATACAGCCTATGGTCTAAATACTACATATGGAAGGGAATAGAATCAAACAGGAAATATGTCATTAAACTCAATAAAGCTGTTTTCCTCCATCTGATAATAGGGTCATTAAACGTTATTGACTCAGTGTATTATCATGTCGCATTTAAAAGATAAAGGCGTTGCCGATTCAAACGCGATCATAATTAAACCGCGAGTGTTTTCCTACAGGAGGTCATAGGCTATTTTTATCACAAAGTTTCACTGTTTCGTCTCGCTTTGTAAATGGGTTATCAGCCACGGCAGTACGAGGCAGAATCTTGTTCAGGTTAAATTATACAGGAATGCCCATGTGATGTCAGATCATGTGACGACATTTGTGGGGATATCGCCAGTAGTGGAGTGAACACTGCACAACATACAACATGGAAACAGAACCGCTCCTGCAAAAGGTGGAGGAGTCCCCGGAATCTGGAGTCAAGAAATCTCAAATCAAGAATCTCCTCTTTGGAAATATGATATTGTTCATATCAACACTTGCGGTGTCGATGTTTTCGCCAGTGATGAGCCAGTATCTCTACAAACGGGTGACAGAGGACGTGTTTCGCAATCAAACTCTGGCAGGGAAAGGTCCAATGAATCAAACATGTTACCTGAACACGTCAAACCCAGACTACATCCTTCAGGAGAAGGCACAGCAGATCGCCGCAGACAAACAAATGCAGTTCACACTTATGAAAAGTAGTCTAGCCATCGTCAGTAACATCATGCTTGGTTCCTACTCGGACTCTGTTGGTCGCAAGCTCATCTATGCCATACCACTCACTGGTCACTGTTTGAGATTTGGATTTACAGCAGTCATTATCTACTGGCACTTGGATATCAACTGGTTTTTTCTTCCAGAAGGTTTAGATGGAATATCGGGGAGCTATTTCGCTTTACTGCTTGCATCGTATGCCTATACTGCTGACAATACCCCAGCAACAGGTGCTCGAACCATGGGCATAGCCTTCGTGGAGTTCTTTCAGAACATAGGAAATGCTGCCTCAGCAACAGCAACAGGCTACTTCATCCAAGACGTGAACTTCTTCTACCCGACACTCACTGCCACGCTGATTGCTCTCGTGGACATTCTCCTAGTGGTGACACTATTGCCAGAGAGAAAGGGGATTATTAAGGCAAAGAGCAATTGGATTACACCTCTAGAAGGATGTCGACGAGTGTTCGGATTTTATGTTTTAGAGGGCACTAAGCGAAAGAGATTGTGTTTCGTATTAGCTATCTTGATATTCGTTTTCACGGCGTTACCAGGCGTAGGGGCGTCTAATATTGACACACTTTTCAAACTAAACCTTCCATTTTGCTGGACACCAGAGAAAATAGGTTACTACAGTACAATCAGCTCTGTAGCACAACAGGTGATCGGGGTTCCGTTGACGCGACTGTTACAGTGTTGCTGTATTGATGAGGTGATCGGAGTGATTGGTTCAGTGGCGATAGGCTTAGCAGACAGTCTTCAGTCCATTGTAAGCAAAGACTGGATGATGTATGGGCGTAAGTACATCGCAAAATATTGTCATTTCATGTTTCCCAGGGACCTGTGATTTTGTCTGAATATAATCCGGTTTTACTTTCAGTACAATTAATGAATTATTGTTTTCAGGCATATAACCTGCAAATGTTCATCTATCTCTGCTCATACCAGGTCATGTTCCATTATTGTTGAAAATAGTCATTGCAGATCATAATTGTCATTCAAAAGTGAAATAAGAATTTAACATTTGACACAACAAACTGCTAAAAACAAGTTTTAAAAAGTTTTAATTTATTTTTCATGTTGCGTGTGATTTTACGATCTCGTTAGTATATCAATGTTCTTTCAGTTGCGGGCATCAAGACTCCTGCTGCCACGCTGTTCCCAGTAGTTCGCTCCACATTGTCCAAGTTGGCTCCGGCTAACAAACAAGGTCAGAATGCATAGAAGGAGAACTGCACGTATCATGTATTATGTCAAATGAAGCTCCTTCACTCAGTCCAGGAAAAACCGTTGCCTTTGTCAAGAAAAAGTAGCCATTGCCTCTGTCAACAATAGGTCAGAAGACATACATTGTAGGTGCACTGTAAGCCTGCATACTTGGAGAATGTACTGAAAATATCATGTATGGTGAATTATGTCAAATGAAGCTCCTTCACTCAGTCCAGGAAATAACCGTTACCCCTAGTCAAGAATAAGTAGCCATTGCCTCTGTCAAGAATAAGTCAGAAGACATATGTTGTAGGTGCACAGTAAGCCCCCATACTTGGAGAATGTACTGAAAATATCATGTAGCATGTCAAATGAAGTAGCAGCTGCTCCTTCACTCAGTCCAGGAAATAACAGTTACCTGTCAAGAATAATTAGCTATTGCCTCTGTCAAGAATAGGTCAGGAGACATGCATTATAGGTGCACAGTAAGCAAACATATATGAAGAATGTACTGAAAATATCATGTATCATGTCAAATGAAGCTCCTTCAATCAGTCCAACAAATAACCATTGCCTCGGTCAAGAATAAGTAACCGCTACCTCTGTCAGGAATTATTAAGAAGACATTTTATGTTTACTGTAAGCAAGCATACATGTTCTGTTGTTCATATTTGAAACGTATATCCTCATCGTATAATCAACCCGTGTAGACTCGGATGGGATAAGTTTCCTACCACTTGTTTGCTTATATTGGATCACCTTTTCTCAGGAAGTTAATGTTTTGCCTTAACATTCCAGCCTATTTTCAGGCCACTCTGGTGCACTCTGACTACAGTGTAAGGGAACGTAGTTCTGTTTAAATTCGCAGTTCTTTACGTAGGTGTACTATTGTTGCAGGTTCCCTGTTTGCCAGTATAGCGGTGGTGGAGACCATGTGCTCTCTGGTGGGGACTCCTATCTTCAGCAACATCTACCAGGCAACGGTGGTGGTTTGGAGAGGTATGGTGTTCATCGTCTTGGGAGGCACACATATCGTCGCTGCTATTATTCTTGTGTGAGTATTTAATGCACGTCTTTCTCATTACTCTAAATCCACAACCGTTTTGATACAAAATATATTTCTTATTCGGATGGTCAGCTGATGATTGATGTAGAAGATTTTAAGCAAATTACAGTATTTCAACCTGTGGAAATTCGTGTTAAGAATTCATCCCCAGGAATCTGTGCTGGTTGAAAGAGGCGTCTAAAATGGATTATCAGGCTTGTCAGGCTCGTTTACTTGCTTCATTTTGCGTCATCGATGCCCCAAGGTTGTGGTTAGGTACTCACAACATCAATCACTTGATTGTCTGATCAAGATTTACAGGCTGCCTTGGAATATAGTACAACATGTGCTAATTGTTTGCACATGGCAATAGTTTCTGGCTTCTATTGCTGGTAGGTATTTCATCACATAGCTCTCAAGCTGTATGACCCGTGAAGATCCGGGTTAGAATTGATCTCCAGTAACCCATGCTTGTCGTAAGAGGCGACTAATGGGATCGGGTGGTCAGGCCCGCTGATTTGGTTGACACATATCAAGGTATCCCAATTGCATAGATCGATGCTCATGCTGTTGATCACTGGATTGTCTGGTCCAGACTCAATTATTTACAGGCAGCCGCCATATAGCTAGAATAATGCTGAGTGCGGCGTAAAACTAAACTCACTCACTCCAGCTGTGTGTGTTCTTTACCTTATCATACTTTCTGTGAAAATATTATCAACTATATGTTCCATGTGGGTAATCCTAAAAAGGATGTAATTGTCACGCCGAGTCTTTGTTTCAGGATCTATATATTCGTGTCCAAACCGATCAGACAGAAGCGAGATGTTCTGGAGGTTCAGCGCGATGTTCACAAGGATGAGGCTGTGGTTCCACATGCTCAGTGCGTGGTTACAAAAGGGACTCAGACTGACATAACCATTGATCCAGACAAGCACGTGCATGCACAGTCGGCGGCAGGCCTGGAGGTGACAGAGGTCACCCGAGCCAGCATACACGTGCATGTTCAGTCAGAGTTTGGCGAAGAGGATGGACGCTATGTGAAAACAGACGGGTAGTTGACTTACACGATGGCAAAACCCACGGCCTGCCCACGTCAAGATTGGAAATTTTCCTCTTGGACCATTGTCCTTCAAGGACAGACTATATGTATACCCCAAAGTGCTTTCAAAACATGTAAATATAATGTATATATGGAGATGTGTTTAAAGTCCCTCAGGGTCTGGCGAATATATTAATTGCGACCGTACAAGGATAATCATTCCCAAGAAGGATAGTCCCCAGTATTCATTCCTTGTGGACGGGACCAGAACACTGACGTAAACGAAACGAAATCTAACCCCTGAAGAAATCTAAATTGCCGTTGCAACTGAACTGATTTGAACTGAACATCATTCTTCTACGCATTACGTTCAGTCTCATTCGAAAATCTTTCCTTGTACGATTTTGTTTTGTTTGTTTACTTGCTGTTTTACGCCGCACTATCCACCCGGTTATCTGTAAATAATCTGGACCCAGGCGCGTAGCAAGTCATTATTTTTCGTGTAAGCCCAATAGGCTGCAAAGCTGTATATTTAGATAGTACTGAGAGCTTGCCCAACCTTTTGGCAACAATCATGTGTAAGCCCGGGCGTTTTGTTATAATGGTAGCTACGCCCCTGGGACCAGACAGATCAGTGATTGACATAATGAGCATCGATCTACGCAGTTGGAATACAATGACATACATCAGCCGAGTCAACGAGCCTGACCCCCCGATCCTGTAAGGCGCCTTTTACGACAAGCATGAATTGCTGAAGACAAATTCTGACCCTAAATTCCCGGGTGTGTTTTTTTCGTCGACATACACATGTACAGTTTCAGGTAGTAATTAATTTACTTTACGCCTATGGTGGCTTTTGACCGAGAAATGAAACGTTTATGTATCAACACAATATATTGTGTAGTTTTCATAAAAGACGCCATCACTGACATTGTGGTGTGAGATCGTGACACTGCGACAGTTTGTCTGCAAGACGACCTGCACGATTTAACCTCGGACTGTCGTTTCCGCAATATGTGTTACTTCCTCACAGTCAATCGAGATCACCCAGTGAGGGGGCGGTGGGGTAGCCTAGTGGTTAAAGCGTTGGCTCGTCACGCCGAAGACCCAGGTTCGAATCCCCACGTGGGTAAAATGTGTGAAGCCCATTTCTGGTGTCCCCGCCGTGATGTTGCTGGAATATTGCTAAAAGCGGCGTAAAACCAAACTAGTCCAGTCAGTCAGTCACCCAGTGAGAGGTACAAAACATACCCTGACTTACCATTACATAGCAGTTTCTGAGCAGGCTCATAATACCCAACAGGAAAACTGTTCGTTATGGCTTCCGACAACTAGAGTCATCTCCCTTAGATTTAGTTCCTGTCGCTCACACAAGGACTCTGATTTTTTGTAGACATTTTCCTGTGTTTTATTTTTACTAGAGTTGCACAAGTCTCTAAGGTAAAAAATATTAGTTCAAATGACGATTTCTAAACAATAATAAATAAAGGACTGGGGTCCTTAGACTGTCCGCTTATCTAGACTTGCCTCTTCAAAGGATAGAATTAGCATACATCCATGTGCTTAGCATTCAGTATAGCCTTGGAGCAAGGCTATATTTGTTCATGATCTATACATGATGTTATCATGTTGGTGTTCAGGTCAATATGGAAAAACTACCTCACAATTAGAAGCATATCCCTCCCTCTCTGTACAAAAAATTAAATCATTGATGATATTGTGTGAGTGGTGAGAGAAAATCATTATATTGATGATATTGCTCTATTTATTTCCCCAGCCCTAGCCGTTGTATACTGAATAATCTTATGACTTACACGTTGCTATAAGTCGTATGTACATAGCACCGCAACTAATTGTTTGAAATAAAGATACCACAACAACGTTTTCTTTATCGGTGTTACACACCCACCAGTAAATTACGAATTTATGAAAAGGAATACAGGCACAGCTACTCTATCTTCCTGCAGCTTGGATATGTACATACCCTTCCCTTTATAGCATTTGCGTAACAAATTATGTATAATGGGTGTAACCTTTACGCCACAGATTGTTTGCAGGCTAATGTCACAAATGATATAATACTTTGTACGAGTTGGATGTAGTGGCTGTGGATGTACAAACCTTCACGTAACAAATGGTGTAATGGATAAATGTTTAACATCAACCATAGCATGATGGGCATGTTTGTTTTTTGCTGTTAAACGCTACACTCAGCAGTCCCTAAGCTATATGGCGGCAATCTGTATATAATCCAGTCTCCACCAGACAATCCAGTGGTCAACATCATGAGCATCGATCTACGCAACTGAGATACATGTCTTAACCAAGTCAGAGAACCTGACCACCCGACCCCACTTACGACAAGCATGGTAAGCTCCGTGTTCAGCAAATATGCCTACAGCAAACTAACGGATACAACATACTGACCACTTGTATACTTTAGTAGAAATGTGTATGACAAAATACACGTATAACGAACTAAATTAAGCGGTTAATTTGACAGACAGACAGACAAGTTTATTCAGTAAAGGCCACAGGCCCATCATACAGTCATTTACATATGATATAGAAAGTTTAGTGCACATGCTGTGCAAGAGGAACATTTCTAATGCGCTGAAGTACATGATACAAAAAATACTGACATCTCTTATGATACAGTCATTATGTGTTTTCATAATGTTAATAAAATTGGCATTTGGATGAAAATCAGTCAAATATTTCTGAATATATCTTAACCTTAAATCAGAAAAACGTTAACACTTAAAGAGTACATGGAATTCATCTTCGATAACATTTTTGTCATCCAATTTACAAAATAAACATAATCTCTCATTGTAATTAACTTTATTGTGTATCTTCCAATTGTTAACAGCTAAATTAAAATTACCACATCTAAGTTTAGAGAGTGCAGATCTGAGATGTAAAGTAATATCAGAATTTAAATATATTTCCACATTTAAAACTGTCAATTTGAGTTCGTTGTAACCGTAGTTTACTTATATCGGACATAATGGAAACAGAAAATTCAAGATACTCATTGGATGTAACCTTTGTATCACTAATTTTGATTTATTATTTTAACAACAATAGTCGTATAATTGATATGTAGGTATACATTGTATAATGGACAAAACATTCACGCCTTTACCTAACGGATTTGAAAGAATGTAAAGGATATAATATACAGAACCGTAACGTCACAAATTGTAAAACGGCTCTAACTTTCACGTCACAAATTGGAAAACGGATCTAACTTTCACGTCACAAATTGTAAAACTGATCTAACTTTCTCGTCACATATCGTTGAAAGAGATCCAATCTTTATGCCACAAATTGTAAAACGGATCTAACTTTCACGTCACAGATTGTAAAACGGATCTAACTTTCACGCCACATATCGTAGAAAGAGATCCAATCTTTATGCCACATATTGTAAAACGGCTCTAACTTTCACGTCACAAATTGGAAAACGGATCTAATTTCCATATCACAAAGTGGCTACAATGGACAGATAACCTTCATGTCACAAGTGGTATAATGAATATTATATTGACATCACCGGTTGGGTATACAATGTAAAACCTTCATGACATATAGCCACTATAAAGAAGAATTATATACGCTCAGACTATTCAGTCATGGTTCAGTCGAACCTATTTATCTATTCGCTGCCTGTCCGTCCTTCTATCCTTCCATCCTATGATCCATCCATCGATCCCCATCTACGAATGCATGAATACATACATACATACATACTGACAGACATACTGACAGACATACTGACAGACATACATACATACATACATACTGACAGACAGACAGACAGACAGACATACATACTGCCATACATACATACATACTGCATACATACATGCATACATACATATACATACATACATACATAGACAGCCATACAGACAGACTGCCATACATACTGCCATACATACATGCCATACATACATGCATGCCACATACATACATACATACTGCCATACATAATACATACATACATACTGCCATACATACTGCCATACATACTGCCATACAACTGCCATACATACATACATACATACATACATACATACGCATACATACATACATACATACGCACATACGCACATACGCACATACACAACATACATAATACATACATACATACATACACATACAGACATACATACATACATACATACATACATACATACATACAAACATACATACGAGGGCGTTGGAAACAGCATTGTATGTCGACCCCATTTGCACAATTACAATGGCTCTTTCTCTCTCTTCAGCTGTTAATCGTGACATATTTATCGTACTTGTGTATCATATCATGCATTCTAGGCTCTCTTTATACCCTATAGAATCATTCCACATGTGAAATGGATGCAATTACTGCTTGAATATTGCTGCGTTTTGGCGATTGATATTGCTATGTGTAAACAGAAAATGGAAAAATTTTACTTTGCAAGCAAAAATGTTAACAAAGATAATTTTAAATGTTCCTAAACATTTTTTCACAATATCAAAGACACATTTTACTTGTTTTAAAAGACTGAAATCATAGGAATGATTATTTTACAATTTTACACACTCTACAACAGTTGTTTCTTGATTTAATAGTTGAAAACTGATGACTTTAAATGCTTCATCTTTGTCTCAAACCAGAATTGTATTTCAACCTTTCTTTTGGACATCTAAATCACTGTTTTTGGTTTATTTCAGCATGGACGAAAATAGGACAATTTAACTCTTCTGAAAAAGATGCATTTCACCTAAATATGAATGCATTTGAGAATTTTGTTTCGTGATTTGCATAAAGCTGTGTTGTTAAGCTGTCTTGTAAACTAATACTTTCCAACATATCTTTGTTAGTATTTAAGTAATTCATAAATGTAGGAGGATAACGTTTCTTTGGGCGTTTAGTGTACACATAAATTCAAAATTCGTAATGAATATATATACATGTACATACATATCCAATAACACGACACTATATCGTCTAACAGATAGGATCAACAATCAGATCAGGGTCACTGATTCATTATCTGTAAATCAAAGTACACTCACACAGTATACCGCTCTATCCACCTTTTACATCAATACAGATTGACGTCGTCGACTACACTGTTTGTGTCAAATTGATGTACACGACGATGACGTGAGTGTTGAATGTACTTAGGCTGGGCCCTAGCGTACGCCCTTCCACCCAGAGAACCAGCAACATGAGAGGACACGACGAGAACTCCCGTAGTCGACGCAGGGAGACGTCCCCGTTGCTGCGAGGTAACGTTCTGAATGAGACAGGCCTTAATGTTCGGAATCTCGTCATAGGTAACGTCGTGGTATGTCTGTATTTCATAGCGACAAATTTCCACAATCCCACCATGGACCAGTATCTGTACAGAAGGATGACGGAAGAGGTGTTTGGAAATGTAACCCATCACGAGTCCTTCAATCAGACCTGCTATGTAAACAAGACAGATAAACATTATCTTCTTCAGGAGAAGGCTCAGCAGCTGGCATCCAGAAAACAGATGTATTTCACAATGGCCCGAGGTGTATTTGTAGTCTTGAATATCGTCCTGTTAGGAGCATACTCTGATTTTATTGGTCGGAAAGTGATGTTTATTGTTGCCATGATGGGTTGTATAACCAGGTACTGTACACTGACAGCCATCATCTACTGGGAACTCGACTTCAATTATTACTTCATAGGGGAGATTGTATCCGGTATAACCGGATACGACTACTCCTTCCTGTTGGCCAGTTATGCTTACACCGCCGACAACACACCTCCCAAGAAGACCAGGACTATAGCAATAGCCGTTCTTGAAACAACTCTGAATCTTGCAAATGCTGCCTCCCAAATAGCAAGTGGATTCTTTATTCAAAGAACCGGATTCCTCTACCCTTCGTTCACCTCGGTCATATTGATGTTCCTGGCCGCCATGTTTGTTCTTGTGTGTGTAAAAGAGACCTTGCCCCGAGTAGAAGTGCAACATAAAGACTGTATTGGTCCCTGCAAAAGCATCAAAAGAGTTGTTGGATTTTATCTGTTTGATGATACCAAACAGACCCGGTTGCTGTTTATATTGGCATTGTTGACCTACCTGTTCTTCATCTTGCCTTCCAGCAGTGCATCGAACACAGGCACGCTGTATATGCTGAACAAACCATTCTGCTGGACTCCTGAAACTATTGGGTATTATTCAATGGCGGGCACTGCACTAAAGCAGGTGCTTGGTGTGCCACTTATTAAGGCACTCCAGTACTGTATCAGTGATGAGATTATAGGAATATCCAGCTCGTTCGTGATGGTTGCAGCATATACACTCCGTGGACTGGCTTACACAGACTGGATGATGTATGGGGGTAAGTTGCAGAAGAAACAGCATTTATTACATCATCATCAATCGTTTAATACATTACGTAAATTTAGATCCAACTTGTATGGGTGAGTAGGTCACTAGAGGAGTTTCACATAAGGGTCACCTGGTCATAATATGTGATCGTGTGTGTCATCTTACACCGATAGTGTGTGCTGCAGATTAATATGCAATCAAACACTGCTGTGCATGATTCAGCTGTCATTCACCCTAGATCTCCGTGATATGGCTGATACATAGATGACCCCGACATAAAGCCAAGATTCACTCACTGCCCCTTAATGCAGGCCTTTATAAAGTAAACAGAAACGATAAAACCCTTCCTACGTCTATAAGAAAGCAGTGTCGATTGTACAATTCTGACAATGGGTATGGGATTGTTTGACGCCAAATTCTGCAGCATTACAGCTGTACGACGTGGTCTGTAAACAATCGAGTCTGGACCAGACAATCCAGTGATCAACAGCATGAGCATCGATCTACGTCATTGGGAAACGATAACGTGTCAACCAAGGCAGCGAGCCTGATCCCGTTTATTGCCTCTTAGGACAAGCATGGGTTGCTAAAGACCAAGTCTAACCCTGATTTGTTTGAGTGGTATTCTAGAAGTTGGTGGTATAGAGATGACAAAACGTTATGGATGATCACCTTCTATATTTTGACAATTTCGGAACATATAGATAGATTTTCAAACCATATGCTTGAAAACGGTAAAAAGGTGATCATCCATAGAGTTTTGTCAAGTCTAACCCTGTTTTGCTCAGGTAATCCTAACAGTGCTGGAAGTGATTTCCTACACTTCCGGTGACTAAATGTTCAGGTTGTGATAAAGGATTGTCTAAATCAGTTGCAGGACTGGAGGCTTTCACGTTTGCGATTTCCCCGACGGTTCGAGCCATCATGTCCAGAATGTCACCACGAGACAGACAAGGTATTAATCGTTAGACAGTACTAAAGTACAATATTGTTAAGCGTGTCTTTCTTTGGATCCTATCAAAGACATGGTATTGTGAGTTATATACAAATGCCATCGGTAATGACTTCCCAGAAGCCAATGCTTGTCAGAAGAACCAGGTTTAGTGAAATTATATAGTTACTCTAGATAACCTTGATTTGGTATTAACAAATCTACTACAGAATTATTCAAATGTGTTCCTGATAAAGAAGGACATTGCTGTGTTCGGCTCAAATGTAACCCTTTCTGTCAAGTTCACACTTTTATCCAGTTGGTTATAACTTATGTCACATAGTTTCTTGATTATATATTCTGTTATGTTCTCTCTTGACTATATCTTCTGTCACATTATCTCTTGACTATATCTTCTGCCAGGTTCTCTCTTCACGAGTCTGATGCTAGTCCAAGCTCTGTGTACACTGCTGGGGACGCCAGTTTTCAGCTCCCTGTACCAGTCCACCGTTCAGGTGATGAGAGGAAGTGTCTATCTAGCCATGGCTGGTCTACAACTGCTCTCTGTCGCCGTGTTTATGTGAGTACATGGCAAAGGGCTGCCCGAAACCCGTTTCTACTGTTCTATATAAACAACTATAACACAAGCAATAATGGGCTAAACATTGAGACTAATAATCTACGGAAAATGCAAGAGGAAACCTGTAATCCATTTCTACGTAGGTGACGAAACAATAATCTTTAGAAATCCCTGGTGAAGGTATGAGCATATGGCAACAATTTCAGGGTAGTTCTAGTCATCTCTTTCCTTAAGCCGTACCGTTCAGTACAAATACCTTGCTTTTAACATGGATTTCAGCACATGATCATAATGTACTCACAATCCTTTATCAGAGATTTCCCATGAAATTATTATGTTATTTAATATGGAAAGGGTATGGCAGATTATATTATGTAATATTGATGAATCTTGTTAAGTACAATTGCATATATGTTACAGGGAATGTGTGAAACTGACTCATTCAGGGATTACGTGAAATCCCTGGTTTCACACATTCCCTGTAACATATATACGTACTTCTTGTTTTTTGTTAAATCAAAGCGATCTTGGAAATGAATCAGATTAAGCAAAGGGTTATATAAAGTTTCTGATTAACCTCTTCCAGGTATGCTTGGGTTGCAATCCGATCGCAATCTTTGTACCTAGAAAAATGAGGCATGCCATAGCCAGTGCATTTTGCCTGGTCAAGTGGAGTTGTGATGTCTTTATGCATTCTGATTTCAGAGTGTTCGCCTGTCGGTCACGCGGTGCTGACCATGGTATCTATAACGAAGAGGAAGTGACGATACAGGAAAGCGGGTCTCTGCCATATTCGTCGCCGGGACTGTCGGCGTCGTTCGAGAGAAGTGGTTCCCACGTGCAGTCGCGGGGTGATCTGATATCACAGCCAATCAGAAGCAGCGATCGTTATCTGTCTTCCTACTCGTATTCTTCTGTGGAGTCCTATTAGACTTGATACAGGGAGGCGGTAACTCTGTGTTTCTCGTCCACTGAATGAAATTCTTGGATTCCCTAAATGGGCAATCTTTTTGTTCCGATGGGCGATAACTCTTCCTTTGACATGATGGAAGCGATGTCCAACTTTTCGCTTCCGGTCTGGTCCACGGCTCAATGTGCGCAGCGACAGTTTGCGACATGTAAAGACAGAGTCAACCTCACGCGTTGTCTTGTTGCACCTTCATTGAAAACCGGTCGTTTACAACGAAAATCCTAATCTAACTGACACATGTTTGTGATGATTGAGAGTTTAGAACAGTATCATTTGTTTAATCCCCCAAGTGCAATATTAATTGACATTAAGGACATAATAGGGAAAACTCTATGAAAAAGCGGTAAATTGTCATGGTATTTCCTACGTCAGAACACCAAGAATTGTAAGTCTCAGGTAAAATAGCATCGATGAAATAATGAGAACTCATTCTTATGAGCCTTTGTGTAATTTCCAACAACGATTCCTCGACCATTGCAGCACTGAAATCTAACAAATAGTTCTCATACACTTACCTTAATGTAATACAATCGCAGCGAGATAAGCCTACATCTGCAGGTAACGGGCATCCTTTAGCAGGCTTTTTATAGTCGTTTTATAATTATTATACATTAATGACTGATAGTTGAAGAAATAAGGTGTATAATTTAATGGTTATAAATGGTACGCTCTTATATACGGTTGCTCACACTTCTGATTTCATGTTGTTTGCATTTAAGATATTCTGAACGTACCCACCCGTGAAGATCCGGGTTAGAATAAATCTTCAGTAACCCGTGCTTGTTGTAAGAGGCGACTAACGGGATTGGGTGATCAGGCTCAATGACTTGGTTAACACATATCATTGTCCCCACTTCCGTCGATCGATGGTCATGCTGTTGATCACTGGATTGTCTGGTCTAGGCTCGATTATTTACAGACCGCCGCCATATAGCTGGAATATTGCTGAGTGCGGCGAAAATTAAACTCACCCACTCACTCCAAACTTGCCCTCCATCTATTCATCGAAGCAGTCATTGGGTGGCAGTAATGTTACCAGTCTCCCCAGTTTAAAATAAAAGATTTACCCACAATATTTTATCATTCAGAAAACGTTATGAGTAATTGTATGCTTTGACATATTGATGATGTTGAGATTTGTCTCAACAAGCAAGAAATGAAGGCCTACCTTTGCGGATGTGTATGATACAATAATAGCATTAAATGGCATTTGTGTCTTGTTTTGGTGACATGATGTTGACAATATATTATCCGTTATACACCATTTACTGTCCAGCTATAGCTTTCTATCCTGATTTCTATTCAGTAGTACTCAAAGACCACTCTATTATTATGCCTGTATTTTCAGAATTAATATGCTGTTGGAAATGTGTTAAAAATCAATATTGTTATTGTGACATCAATAAAAATTTAACCCCACAATCAGTCCATTTAGGTGTTTCATGTATTTATTTATATTTTTACATATAACTGACTATAAATGTGTCTAATGACTGCTGAATTGTCATGTAATGTAATATTAAAGGACAAAGGCCCCCCTCATACTAAAAGATCAAATGCAATACTTATTGTAACATTGCACGGTGTTGATATCTATTGATGTAGAGAGAAAATAGATTGACATATTTATTTGTTTGTGTGAGAATTTGAAGGAAAGCTAGGCCGAAACAAATTAAATATTAGCTTTGTCATGACTATTCTAATCATCTGATTTTGTGATGGCAAACTGCTTTCCTTGATGAACTCGGTAAAAAACAAACATTTTATCTAACGTATCAGTATATATTTATTTTACCATCTTAGAAAGTAATATGTGTGAATAGCCTCTCTGCATATACATTGCAAGATGTGTATGGGCCTTTTGCGTTGAGAATAAAAGACGAAACATGTACGCCTTAATGAAACCTTACCTGGTGCAGATGTGCACATGAAAATAATTCGAGATTGTGCCTCAATCCGAATGTCTGATTTAGAATCTATTGTAAATATTTAGTCAGAATATGAAGTGATAATTGCGCGAAACTCACAATACTTATCGTTCATGTGACCAGGTAATGGATATTAAAGATCAACCACTTTATAAATGCATTACAAATCAACAAACATATGAAGAAATGTTCAACATTGCTGAGTGAAAGCAAAGATGTATATACACAGGATTGGAAGCTTCCATTGACAGTCTCGCTCTGATGTGGGACGCGCTCATTTGCCCCAATAGGGGTGGATGCGCGCTATGCATCGTGGGTAATTCGCTAACGCTGGACACCAGAAGGATAGCATCATGTGTGGTATTCTGTCAGATTAATGCAGCATTTAGATATCATTTCATGAATCAAAGGTAAGAATAATCATTACTAAGAACATATACGAAAGCCACCGGCATCTGTTTTCAGTGGATTAACAATTATCTTTGGCTAAGAATCCTTTTGAGACTGCTGGCCAGTCGTGACTTGTTGCGCTGACTTCGAAATCAATATGGTTGACACTCTCAGTTGGCAAAATTGTACATTATGGCCTATTTATGCGTCAATTTACGATGCAGAGGTTGCAGAAAGTCCTTTGTTACTTTGGTCAGATAATGGAACCATTTATCCTCTATGTACTTACGAAGTTGTATATGGTTAAATATATTTGTTATTTATAGATTTTCACTCGCGATTGTGATGACATTTTGTGTCAAATAGAAATATTCAGTGGCATCGTCCATATTGATTGTGAGTTTTTGTCACAATTTCCAAATCACCCCCTGAACCATATTTTCCAGACAAAATGAATTTTAAAATTTCAATTTATGTTTGTTGTATTGATGAAGAGCTTTCTTAGTTTCATGTCAATTTCGCCCTCAAAACTTGTAATTAAAAAAGTTCAATTTTATCTGATCACTTTTCACCTATGGCTATGTGTACATGATGTATGATACTATCACTATCAGTAGTCTTGATATTTCTTGAATACATAGTACTGTTTTATACAAATATACAGAAAATTCAATAATACTATGAATAATGACCCACTTTTACACCGGACGTTACACAATCGTTAATATGCAAACTATTTGGGCAAATGAATACCACCATTCACTCTCCACACAAACAACTTTAATAATTAACTCCACCGCCTTTCCGCTGTCTCTCCCACCCCTGTCTCTCCATTAACATCCATATGTTAGCTACTTGGTAGATCACAATGACCACGTAACAAACAGTTCTGTCATGGCATCGTAAAGTCAGCTCCATCCATAGTTATATCTGTTCCAATATTTTTATAGCTTATGTTGTTTTCTCCCTGGAGTGTTTCAGTGAGTAATAATTAATTATTAAATATATCCATTACTATTCATTGACATGTATTCTTATTTACATAATATTTGTAAAAAATTTATTTGTATGTGATGTCATTGTAATTTATTGCACTTTTCAGAAAAGACTGCAATGAGAGTGCCGGATGGGAAACTGCATGGGAGAATTTCTATCTAAAAGACAGCAATCCCTCGCCTTCCACACCCCATTACAGGGAAGTGACAAGATTCTGACAACTGTTCTGCCAATGAGTTTTATGTTGTTCTCCACAAAGTATTCCAGTATAATGCTGAAGATGAACTGGATGTGATTGTTTTTAGACTGTTTACTGAGAGGACATCTGCACGCTGTGTTTCCCTTATGGATGAAGTTAAGCAATATCTATCAGCCTTTGGACACTTACTGTTTTCTGGTGCAAATAAACATGGTTTGAGATTTGTTCAACCATATGATCATGAACCTAGCCAGGTTATGAGACTGACTTTGATCATCAATTAGTCGTTGAAACCAACTTTATTTAACCATGGCAAGGATGTAAATTCTAATCATGATTTTTGGACTGGTCTTCCACATATATATCATTCTGTGAAAGACATCCAGAAGTTACAGTCCAAACTGGAGCGCTGGGGCATTTGCATGGGAAACCTTGAGGCTCAGTATGTATCCATGGTGCCGTCAGGTGTTGGAATTTACAAGAGTTCAAGTTATGTCTCTGCTGTTGCCTACAGGGAAGATATCCATGCTATCAGAGGTGACATTCCATACGAGTCAACAATACGTTCAACTAATTGCTGTCCACTGGTTCAATCAAAGAGGAGGTGCAAACACTGTGACCTGTACAGAAATACTCTGCGGAAAAAGGATTCACGTCAAAAGGCCCACACTAGCTGTGTCAACATTTTTCTCTGAAGAAATCACCCCACAGCACTATGAACTGAATTCATCTTGTTAAAAAAAATAATATGCTAAAAACTGAGAAGAGATCAATTCAAGCAGAACTTGACCGACTTATAAGACGTGTGCTTGATGTCATCAAAACAAAAGGACATGTGTTAAGCGGCAGTGAAAACAAAGAACTTCTAGAAATTGTGGAACAATACACAAGTGATGCCGAGAGAAGTTATCCAGACGAAAATTCTACTCAAAGGCTCTTCTGGGACCAACAGCTAAAATATGCTAAACTCAAAAACAAATCAACAATGAGGTGGCACCCTATGATGGTAAAGTGGTGTTTGCATTTACGTAGCAAAAGTCAGAAAGCTTACAATGTGGCCAGAGATTCTGGATTTATTGCTCTTCCAAGTACCCGTACCTTATTTGACTATTCACATGTCTTGCCGAGTACATGTGGCTTTCATGAAAGATTTACTGAACATCTGATAGAACAGGCTGAAAAATGTGGAATGTACAAGGAAGAAGGGAAATCCTCTGTTGGGATCACCCAAGATGAAATTAAAGTATCAGAAGGACTGGTTTATGACAACAAAAGCGGCGAGTTAGTGGGATATGTAGAGCTGGACAAAACTGGGAATGACATCAGTAATATGGACAATCTGCTTAGTGGCAGTGATCCCAAACTTGCAAAATCCAATCTGGTTGTTATGGTGAGAGGCATCACTACATCTTTGCAGTATCCATTTTCTGTCTGGCTACTGATGGAATAATTTCAGCGACTTTATACCCTCCCATATGGGAAACTGTGAGAATACTAACAATTGAGTGTGGGTTAAAGCCATTGTTTATTACATGTGATGGGGCAACACCTAACAGGAAATTGTTCAAACTACATCGTAATGAAAAGTTGCAGAATACGTTTTGGACTTTAAACCCATATTCGCTTCCCACCAGGAAACTGTACTTCATATCTGATGTCCCACACTTACTAAAAACGACAGGAAACTGTTTTTCAAATTCAAATTCGTCACATGAATCGTTTTATTCGACTGTCTTAACACTAGACATTTAGAGGAGGCAAAACGCAAGAGGAACCCAGACCTAGAGTCATATAGGACACCAGATGACTCGAGATTTCATTATCTGACTGATGAATTTCTACAATATTTCAATGACTGGGAAATGGCAGTAATGAATAGGGCAGGACCATATACTCTACGGCAGAGAAAAAATATGAAGCTGAGTCAACAGACATTGAATGGTCTCCATATCAGTGTGAACTCCATTGTAGAATGCACTAAGTTTCTTTTGCAAGAAGGAGCAAGTTTTGTTATGATTCACAGATTTAATCAGGATCCCCTTGAGGAACATTTCGCTCATTATAGACATAAAGATTGATCGAACGGCAACCCAACAGTTTTTGATGTCCGCAACACTCTTTCTCAACTCAGAGTAATTGGATCTGAAGCACTTGCTCCTATTCGGGAAAATATTACCAAAAGAAGACAACAGGGACCACTTGCTGTGGACAATACCCCACTAGCAAAATGGCTGAGATAATCAAGTGACATCCTATTTCATGATTATGACTGAAAACTTTGAAACGCTCAACTTCAAGGCGAGACAATCTGTTTTAAGTGGGACAGAGACATA